ATCGTTCTTTGTCCGATAGTAAATGACTAACTATCACTAATGTCATTAAGCACTTAGTCTAGTCTTTCTTATGAAGAACTAATCGCATCGACCGTCTTCTTTCATTCATATTACAAGTACATATCAGCGACGGGGATTCGAAAAGGAAAGAGAGACGGAATTAAGATTAATATTACAAGAGAATAAAGCTTCTAAAATATTTCTCCTATCGGCAGAGTAACATATCGATATAGGATTTCTCTTTCGAGGACGTGATAATCTCGAAAGCGAGTAGATTAATTCGTGGAAGTTTGTTCAAAAACATCTTTCCGACCTCGACCCACAAACACGGAAAACATTGATGCGTGTTTATTCAAAATGGCAAGCTTTTCTCGGATGGCAGCCAGAAGGAATAAATTTAATTGAACGAGCTCCTTGGAGACGGGAAAAGCAGCTATAGGCTTTCTCAGCGATCAGCCGAGATGACGTCACGCGACGCGTAAGCGCTGTCGATTCTACTTTGTTGGGGTGTGGACAGTGTATAGGCAGGTATAGAAAGATGTATGTAGTGTGGTAATGTCTATATACGATATGTGGAAGTACATGTGTGTGTGCTTGTGTTCTCACGAGCGCGAGCTGGGAGAGACGAAGCGACGAGGCACGAGGGCCAAGAAAACGAGCGTCGAAATGACGCACGCGCGACGCGCGTGCAACATGAGCGTCGTAGAAAGGATGTGGTGTATATACACTTGAGACCGTTGTCCTTATATGTAGAATGCGTTACTTACCAGACTCACGAAGCTGGACAAAGTCAACAGCAATAATAAGGGCCGAAGAACGTTATGTGTTACGGCTGCGCCCATTAAATTTCGATGAGCGGCCGTGCCTGCAGTTGCAATCGTTACCCTAGCCCAATGCATGGCGTTAATACGTTTTACACCGTCCGCTGAATTCGCTTTTCCCTGCTACAGGAGCGATGCACTTAACCTCGCTCAAGCTCAACTCGATCCGTACGCGTGTCGCGATGCGATCATTGCACGCGGGACATTTCCTTCGGTAATGTTCGTCTCCTCGACGATTCGACCCGTCTTGTGATGGTTTATGAGCCACACGAATGATTACAATCAACCTCACCACTTGACAATCGTCGACTGCTGCTAGTTTAGTAGCGCCAATGCTCATCGCCGGCCGTCGTACGATGCTTGACTTGGTTCGATTCAGTTCGGCTGTCATCGGTCGCCACCGTCGCGAGCGCCACCCAGCGATGCTTGGTTGTTATTAATCCGATGACCGCCGCGTCTCAAATCGATATAAATCACGCGCATAACTGCGTATCGTGTTACTTCTCAACACTTTTCAATGCGCTCAGATAAGACCTCCAAGATATGTATTATGGAATTATTCAAAATGGATTCCGATTCGGAATTATTCAATTATTCTCTGAATTTCTATTTGTTTTCTAGGAAAGACGAAATAATTCCGAATAATTCTATAGTACGTTCCTTCTGAGCTTGACATTCCGATAAGCAAATTGTGAAAACATATTACACAATATCATAGCATATCATGAATTGATGACAATTTAGAATAATTATACTTGTACGATAATTTGTTACGATAACGCAACAGTTTTGTTAGAATAAAATTTCTAAATGATATTTGTCAAAAATTAGATAAATTTTAATTTGAGATATTTTTTTATTTATTTTCTTTCAAGAATATGATTGAGACGTCGACAACGTATTGAAGAAACAAATCAAGTCATGATTATTTTCCAATGCTTGACAAATATTTCTGGAAGATTAAATTATATATTTACATTTCCGTTTGACTTCAAATTTTTAAGTTAAACTGAATATATAATTAATATTTCATGTTGCAATATTTTTACATCATTTAGGAATAATTTTGCATTTTGGAGCACAATTATATTTTTAAAATACATAATTTTTTAAATTCAAATAATAAAGCTGAAATATTTTTCTCGGTTATTGTGCATAATTTCTTTCTCCAAACTTAATTTAATAAATAAGATGATGATTCGTTATATCGTTATTGTTTTGACGAACAACTATGTCAAAATTAATTGAACAGTTATCAATATTTTAAAAAAGATCAAAATTTCTGCATCTATTTCTGTAAATATTATATAATATCCGTGTAATTGCAGATTACACATTTTATTAAACAAGATTTTGCTATATAATTTAATAAAGTTATTTTAGCGGGATATATATATATATATATATTGTATATATATATATATATTGTGTGTGTGTATATATATATATATATATATATATATATATATATATACCATACA